GGTTGGCAGAAGGTCTCACATAGGGACCCTGGGGGGAGACAGGAGGAGAGGACCCTTCCTGGCTCTGTCGCTGTCACCTGGGTGGTCGGTGGTGGGGTAGGGACACCCTGCCTTTCTGGGATTCACTCAGGTTCTTCCCTGCAAAGTAGGGCGACCCATAGCACCCACTATCCAGGGCTGTTGGGTGGATTCAGGAAATGTGGCCCCAAAGGGGTTCACTTGGTGCCTGGCACTGCATGGACAAAGGCTGAGAGGCAGGAACAGTGGAAGGAAGGGCTCCCTCTTCAGGGCAGGGGTGAGAATTTGCCCTCAGCAGGTGGGGCTGGGAGCAGATTCTGAGTCAGCTCAGCAGCCACACCCTCTGTGACCCAGTGTCCTCACTGATAAGATGAGATGGCCACCCCGTCTCATGGTGTTATGTGGATTAGTGACTTAATGTGGCTGCTTCACAAATGTCAGGTGTGGTTGCTATTGTCATTATTGTTAGAAGGCAGGCCAGGGGATAGGGCAAGGCAGGTGAGGTGCCCAGAGAACAAGATGAAAGGAGGCCTTACTTTTGGGGTATGTGAGTACAGGTGGGTGCTTTTGAGTCAGGCCTCCTTATATTCGGGGCCCCACATGATTCCTATGCTTCCTGAGCCCTAGCCCCTGTCTTGGCTGGTGGGCCGCCATGGCTGGGCAGAAGCAGGCTTACGGATGAGGGTGCAGGGAGCAGCATTCTCCTTAGAGAACCAGCGCCTCTGAGAGTCTGGGCATTACTGGGCTGTGATTAGACAAATCCCGGTGTTCCCAGGCCCAAGCCAGGCCCATCCCTTCCCGTGGATGATGCCTGCCTGCTCTATGGGGGTGTTTGCAGGACACTGCTGATGTCTGCCCTCAGGGAGTACCCAGTCTGGTTGGGGGAAGGACATATACATGCAGAGGGGCTCAGGGGCTATGGTGAACAGAGGGAGGGGGTTCTCCCTGTGTTGGGGGTCATGACAGGTGTCAGGAATGGACTCCTGGAGAAGGGTTGAGCTGGACCAAGGAAGCCAATAGGGCCACAGCATGTGTTGGGGTGGGGGGAGGGTGTCAGAAAGGTTCCTGAGGATGCCAGAAGAGCCACAATGAGCTCAACAGAGAGAAACTTCACCCAGGGAAAAAGATAAGTGAGCAATCAGAAAAGGACCTTGGAGCAAGCCTATTCAGGATTATCAGAGATGAAAAGAAGGAACCCCTTCTTTTCACAGAACCCCATTCACAGAACCACAATAGAAAGTTATGAAATAAAAATAGGTATTTATGAAAAAGAATCAATTATCTTGTAAATAAGAAATAAATGATGAATTTTTTTTGTTTGCTGAAGCATCAATGAATCCGAAAATAATTTCTAAGAATGTAGCATAAAGAGAAAAAGAGAAGCAACGTATGAGAGAAAAGTTGAGACGTGGAGATTTCATTCAAAAGTGCAAATACTTGTGTCGTAGAGCCTTAGAAATCATAGAAATAACCCCCTCCTACCTACAAAGAAATGAGAATCAAATGGGCACCAGATTTCTCATCAGTAGAGTTGGGTTACTTGGGAATAACTTTGAATCTAGAGTTCTAAACCATCATCCACCTTTCAGGGTAAGGGTAAAATAAATGTCAGATACACAAGAAAGCAGAAAATGTTCCAGTCACAAGCCCTGCTAGAACTAATAAGAATGAAATCCAGTGAGAAGAAAAACAGAGCCCGGAGGAATTGTGGGCTCTGTAGAGCAATGGTGCAGCAACTAAGGCTAACACATGCAGACGATTCTTAACAATGGGTGATAGTAAAATAACATTTTAAATGACAAATTGGCACCACAATTCAAATCTGAAAGTGTGTGTGTGTGTGCGTGTGTGTGTAGAAGAAAGGAGCAGAAAAATGCTAACTTTTGCATATAGATTCTAATTAACTTTAAATATTTTATGAAAAGACATGTTTAATAATGGGCATCAACAATTTAAGGGCAAAAAAACCAAGAAGAGCCATTAAGAGAATAGACATAGTACGTATGACTTTTACACTTGCAGTGGACAAAGTGAAAAAAAAATTTTGATCAGTCAACAAGAGTTAAAAAGCAAGTGTCTGCGTGTGTGTGTACACAATCAGGGCATGGGTCTCAGTCATCTCTTGCTGCATAACAAATTACCCTACATTTAGAGGCTTAAAACAACATCAAAACTTGGTGAACCAGGGCCTCCCCTGGTGGCGCAGCGGTTGAGCGCTGGGCTGCGAAGCTGCCCGCAACCTCTGCAGCATCGGTTCAGTCCCCGGCCACCGGCAAGGGTCCCACATGGCATGCAGACCTCTCCTGCCGTGCCCGCTGCTCCCCTCAGCAGTGTACTTGTCAGTCTGCCTGTTCTGCTCCCTGCTCTGGCTCTGGTGAATTTTCTCACCCTCCCGCGCTTCTGACTGTACCCAGTGCTTGTATAAATAAATAAAAAAATCTTAAAAAAAAAAAACACAACTCATTTGCTAAAAAAAACAAACTTGGTGAAACTGAGGGCATTATGTCAAATGCGATAAGCCAGACATCAAAAGATAAACACTGCATGATTCCACTTATGAGATAACTAGAAAAGTTAAATTCCAGAAACAGAAAATGGTGTTTCCCAGGGGCAGGGGCTAACTCTTGGCTATAGACTTTCAATTTTGCAAGATAAAAAATTCTAGAGATCTGTTGGCCAACAAAGAGAATATGTTTAACACCACTGAGTTATACACTTGAAAAGGATTAAGATGGCAAAAAAATGAAAAACACTGATTCAGTTGGCTCAAGATTCTGCGGTTCAGCAATCTAGGCCTGGCTCAGCAAGGCAGGTCTGCTAATCTGGGCCAGGATCCTTCCTGTGTCTATGGTCAGCTGCCTTGCCGGCTGGGGGCTGATGGGCCAAAGAAAACTCAGTGGGACAGCTGGCCTGCCTGTAGGCGCTCAATCTCCAGCAGGCTGGCCCGGGCTTGCTCTTGGGCAATGACAGGAGGCCCAAGGGTGAGGCCAGGCCCACAACCGGCACACCTCCACCCTGCTGTATTCCAATGGTCATAGCTAGTCACAAGCCCAGCAGAAGTTCAAGGGATGTGCAAATAAGCTCCACCTCTTGATGGTGGTTTATTTTATAAGACATTTCTGCCATCTTATTTTCTGTTTTCCAGTACCAGGGCCATGTAAATAGCAACCACAGGCACAACTGATTTCCTTCCCTGTCCTTAGTCCCATTTTACAGATGAAGAAACTAAGCCCCAGAGGGTTTCAGTCAGGGAGAGACTGAGGGAGGGCACAGGCTTGCAATGTAGTGTGTCTGATTCCAGAGCTCAGCCTAGTCCAAGACAAGATGAGGTCAGTCATCCATTCCTCCCCGCCAAGGCTGGTCACATGCCCCCAAAGACCTTCCTGGCCCCACCTGAAGCCAGAACACAAATTTCAAGGAAACCCAATCTTTTCGAGGCAGCTGCATTTTCTTAATGACTACTGAATTTTCAAACGAAATCTCTTTAGGAAAATCCCAATTTCTCATCAGATGAGCTAAAGACATGGAGTTTTTGATTATATGGAGAATGAGTTTAGAGTTTTGAGAGGCACAGGACAGGGAAAATGGAAGAAAGGCAGGAGAGCCAGGGGGAGGTGGGGATGGACAGAGAGAAGTAGGAGGAGAGGCCAACATATAGGAGGGGGATTTGAAAAAGAGAAAGATACTGATAGATGGATGGACAGACAGGCAGCTAGACAGAAATGCAGGCAGTCATGGGGAAATATTTCATTGGAGACAAAATCAAGGAAGGGAGAGAGTGTGAACTGAAGAGAGGGAAAATGGAAAAACAGTAAGAAGGAAAAGACAATGAGAAATAGAGGGACATACGTCAGAAACAGCAATAGAGGGACAAGATGACATTACAGGCACATAGTGAACAAAGGAGAATGAGAGACACTGATAAGGAGGGAGGAGAAAGGAGGAGAAAATCATAATGAGAAAGAGCAGACGAACTGGAGACAAACCGACAGGAGGTGACAGAGAGGAATGACAGGAGGGGACAAGAGAGGGGCAGGAGGGAAGACTGGAGGAAGAAGAGAGGCTGGCACCAAATTTGGGGACTTCCAGGCTCTGCTGTCTGGAGGGAGGCTGCCACCAGGGAACGCTTGACTCTGCCACCCCAGAGACTTCCCTGCACTGGGGACAAGCTCCCCTCCCACCACTGCCTCCAGGAAGCTCATGCCCCCCGCCTTCCCCTTTCAGGCTCCTGGCACCAACTAGAAATCAGACAGGAGGCATTTGGGTGCAAGTATTCCTCATTCAGAACAGAACCATTAATGCATTCTAAAAAGCTTTTTAGCTGTGGCCTGCTCTGCATGTTATTAATTTCTTTATTACAGATCTTGTTATTTTCAGAGGTCCCCGGGGACCCATTAACAACGGGTTTTTATGGGAAAGAAGTCGGTTAAAGTGGTGGGAATAACTGCTCCTCAGCCCTGAGTCAGTAATCGGAGTTGCACGGAGGATAATGTAGGTTGTTTTAATTTCCAAAATAGCAACAGTTCAGACATTTAATTGCAGTTTTATGCCCTTTTTTCATGCTGCCGAGTGTAAAATATGTGACCAGTAATATATAACAGCTAACCACTGAGCCACACACGGCCCGGCTTCCTCGTCCGGCAGGGAGATGGGAGCAGGGCCGGAGGGAGGAGGGCGAGAGAAGTGGGGAGAGAAGACCCGGGCAGTCTCCCTGCCTCTTTTCCTTCACTTTCTTCCACACCCCCAGCCCCACCTTTTCTCCAACATTGTACTGAACATTTGAAACATCACACTCCCCGCTTTTCTGCTGCCAACCAGGCTGTGAGCACCGCCGAGCTGACCGCCGTGACCAGGTGCACCAGTGTGATGACAGAACTACTGCCGCAAGTCCCCCTCCGGCTCCCTCCCGACCGTGGCTTTCAAATGCACCAATGAAATGAAGAGAATGAATGCACCACACACATCACATTCAGAGGCACCAATCGCCTTGCACCTTTCTTAAGTACAGCCAGACCCCCATTAAAGGCACTTGCCTGCAGGTCTTGCCTCTGGCTCGACACCCCATCCACTTGGGTGAACCCTCTTGGCATCCAGTGACTTGTCACTCAGGGACCATGGTTATGATAATCCTTGTTCTCCTGCGCTGCTCTTGTATCTCCTCTTGTGGACACAACTGATTGTCCATCACCTAGAACAATCACACGGAACAATCTCTCAACATGGCAACAGACATTTAGGAAATTGTTTCTGAGTGAACCCTTGAGGCTCTTCGATGTATGGTGTGGGGTGGACTCAGTGATGAGCATGGACTGCTGATAGGGCCTGTGGGGTTATGAAGCTACCTGTCTCCTGCTTACCACTGATGACCATTTCTTTTCTGATCCCTCCTTCCTTTGGGTGCCGGGCTTCAACCATTAAAAACCTAATTTGTGAGCTCACCAGTGCTGATACTGAGCTAGTTGTGAAACCTAATGCAGCACACGGCCATGATGATGATCTACTGGGTGGAGGGCAAGGATTCCCATTTCTCTCTTTGGTTTCTGCCATTCTTGCACCCAGGAATAGAGCGTGTCCTCCTCCCATGGACACAGCTCTACTTTCTCTGTGAGCAGGGTACCTCACATGAGTAACCATGGACTCTAAGTTCTTGATTTTACACAATACTAGTTGAGGGAGTTGGAGCCTCGGCTATGCATTAATGCCCTTCTCTCAGAACTACTTGGTTGGAGGGAGGCACCTGGTCATCTCTTCCCAAGTGTCTTGTGCCCCGTGGACAGAGCCATTGGATAAGGAGTGGACACATGACCTGAGCTGAACCAATCAGATTCCCTCCCTATGCCATTTGAGGCTTCATCAGAGCAAATCAGCCTCAATTCATGGCTGAAATTTTAACTTATGAATGTGTGAACTGTAAAGCCATTACATTTCTTGTGCTGGAATGTTCTGTTGTTAATTAATTAAGTGACGGACAGCTCTCCTACAATCTTCTCTCATGGCAGAGTTGACTGAAAGAAGAATTGAGAAGTGGAAGTAGCAGGAGGAATCTATAAATACCAGGTACAACCACGTTACTCACTGAAGAAATGGGAACTGCAGCGGTTTGAGTAATTTTTCCAACAATTCTTCAGAAGAGTTGTACTCTTAATGTGTAGGCATTTTAAGAATATATAAATTAATTTCCTTGTATACATGAATGAGTCATGTGATAAACATCGTGTCAAAATAAGTCTTTCAGTAAGTGTAATTAAAAATCAGAGTCCAGGTGCGCAGACCTCTCCTGCTGTGCCCGCTGCTCCCCTCAGCAGTGTACTTCGGTCCTTCTGCCTGTTCTGCTCCCTGCTCTGGCTCTTGTGAATTCTCTCACCCTCCTGCACTTCTGACTGTACCCAGTGCTTCTATAAATAAATAAATCTTAAAAAAAAAATCAGAGTCCAATGGCAATCATCTCTTGTCAAATGCTTTGTTTTTACATTTATTGTGATGATCACGTGGCTTTTGTCCTTTATTAACATAGTATTTGATTAAGTGATTTTCATATGTTGAATCAACCTTGCATTCCTAGGGTAAATCACACTTTGTCATAGTGTTTAATCCCTTTCAAGTTGAGGAATTTGGTTTGCTAGTATTGTGTTGAGGATTTTTATGTGTATATTCAAAGGAATGTTAGACTATAGTTTTTTTCTCTTATAATTTCAGTATCAGGATAATAATGACAGAATGAGTGGGAAATATTTCCTCTTCTTCTATTTTTTGGAAGAATTGGTGAAGCATTTATGCTAATTCTTTAAATATTCAATAGAGTTCACCAGTAAAGCTATCTGTCCTAGGTTTTATTTATAGAGTTTTGATTACTAATTCAACTTGCTACAGGTCTATTCAGATATTAAGCTTTCTTTATAGCCAGCTTTAAAACTTTGTGTCTTACACAGAATATGTTTCATCTAGGTTATTTAATTTTTTCATAGTATCTCCTCAAAATAGTCTTTATTTCTATAAGGTCAGTAGCATTCTCTCTTCTTTAATTTGTGATTTTTGTAATTTTATTCTTACCCTTTTTCTTAAGAGCTTGTTTGGAGGTTCTAACAGGGGAGCTTAGCTACTCCTATACCCTTGACCCAGGAACAGTCTATCTCTATTCCAGGGAGGCTGTCTTCTTCTAACACCCAGCATGGCTTCAGGAGGGATGCACGTGGAGTGGAAGGAGAAGAAAAGGACACCAGCCTAGCCACCAGATCAGCCACATCAACCCTGGTGATCAATGGGGTGACAGATATCACAGCCACATCAACCTCACATCCTCTTCTCCATTTGCTTGATCAGTCTTGCTAAAAAGCTTATCATTTTTATAGATCATTCCAAATAATCAACTCTTGGTTTTGTTGATTCTCTCTATTGTTTTTATATCCTCTCATTTATTTCTACTTTAATCTTGGTTATTTCTTTCCTTATGCTTGATTTAAGTTTAGCTTATTCATTTTTTTTTTTCAGTCGCTTAAGGTGGGTGTTTAGGTTACTGATTTGAGATACTTCTTTTTATTTTTTAAGGTTTATTTATTTACGCATATAAGAGCTGGGGTACAGGCCAGATATGTGGGGGGTGAGAGGATCCACCAGAGACAGAGTGGGAAACAGAACAGGCAGACTGACTGAAACACACTGCTGAGAGAAGCAGCAGGTGAGACAGGAGAGGTCTGCCTCACCATGTGGGTTTTTCCCTGGCCGGCCGGGGATCAAACTCGTGCTGCAGAGGCTGTGGATAGAGTTTCATAGTGCTGTGCTTAACCCCTTGTGCCACCAAGGAGGCCGGAGATACCTCTTTTTAAATTTAGGCATAGCAGTTGTACAGTTTCCTTGGCATGCTCATCTGCATCTAACAAGTTTGGTACTTTAGACTTTCTTTCACTCACTGTTTATTTAGGAGTGTGGTGTTGAATTTTCATGTATTTGTAAATTTCCCAAATTTTCTGTCATTAATTTCTTTACTTCTTTCCATGTGACAGAAAAATATACCTTGTATGACTCCAATCTTTTGAATTTGTTGAGACATTTTTTGTGGCTTAATATGGTCTGTCAAGAATGCATATTTTGCTTTTGTTGGATGGAGAGTTCTATAGATGTCTGCTAGATCTAGTTGGTATTCAGTATCGTTCAAGTTTTCTATTTCCTTGTTGATCTACTGTGTGGATGTTCTAACCATTATTGAAAGTGGGTACTGAAGTCTCCAACTGTGATTTTTAGATTTCCTATTTCTCCTATCAATTCTATCAGTTTTTGCTTCATGTATTTTGGGACTGTGTTGTTAGATTTATATTTATAATTAATGTATCTACCTGATGGATTATACATCTTTTATCATCATAAAATCTCCTTCTTTGTCTCTAGTCACGATTTTTGTCTTATAGTTTTTTATTTATAGTTCATATTTTTATATTTTTTTTCATTTTCAATTTATTTGTGAGTTTGAATCTAAGGTTTGTCCCTTACACCCTTACAGATAGCATATAGTTGGATCATGTCAATTAATTCCACTCTCCCAATCTCTACCTTTTGACTCTACCTTTTAATGTAATTATTGATAAGGTAGTATTTATGTAATTTTGCTAGTTGTTTTCTATATGCCATATAACTTTTTGCTACTCTATTCCTCTGCTAATACTTACTTTTGGTTAAGTATATATTTCCTAATGTACTATTTGTATTCTTTTATCATTTAATTTACTTATTTATTTGACTAATTTTCTTAGTGGTTGCCCTAGGGGTTACAATTAATATCTTAACTTATAATAATCTGGTTCACAGTAATACCAGTTTTATTGTAGCAGTATACTAAAACGTTGCATCTATTTAATTCCATTCTTTCTCCCTTCCTTTTGCTGTCATTGTCATACAAATTAATTATTGATTTTATACACTGAAAGCACATTTGCAAAATTTAAAATTGAATTCCAAAGCATGGATTTATAATTCTTGCCTTAATCATATTTTATTTTATTTTGTGGGGTATTTTTTTTTTTAAGATTTATTTATACAAGCACTGGGTACAGTCAGAAGTGCGGGAGGGTGAGAGAATTCACCAGAGCCAGAGCGGGGAGCAGAGCAGGCAGAAGGACCGAGGTACACTGCTGAGGGGAGCAGCGGGCGGCAGGAGAGGTCTGTGCGCCATGTGGGACCCTCGCTGGGGGCCAAGGATCGAACCAGTGCTGCAGAGGCTGTGGGCAGCTTCGCAGCCCAGTGCTCAACCACTGCACCACCAGGGGAGACTCGCCTTAATCATATTTTAAATCATATGGGAGATAAAACAGTTACAAACAGGGGCCTCCCTGGTGGCGCAGCGGTTGAGCGCTGGGTTGCGAAGCTGCCCACAGCCTCCGGAGGAGGGTCCCACATGGCGCGCAGACCCCCCCTGCTGCCCGCTGCTCCCCTCAGCAGTGTACTTCGGTCCTCCTGCCTGCTCTGCTCCCCGCTGCCCAGTGCTTGTATGAATAAATACATAAATCTTTAAAAAAAAAAAAAACAGTTACAAACAAAAATACATTTAACCAGTGGTCATTATTTTTTCACGTGTATTGGAATTACTACTTAGTGTCCTTTCATTCAGCTTGAAGGACTTCTTTCTAGGTTAGACTTTCTTCTGGGTAGATGTACTAGCAATAAACTATCGTGGTTTTAATTTATGTGGGACTATCTCAATTTCTCCTCCACTTTTGAAGGATAGTTTTGATGGATACAGAATTCTTGTTTGACTTTAATTTTTCCTCTTTTCACTTTGGTATGTTATCTCACCGCCTTCTGACTGCCATCGTTTCTGATGAGAAGTCAGCTTTTTCCTTAGTGAGGGTCTCGTATGTGATTAGTCACTTCATTCTTGATGCTTTCAAGATACTTTCTTTGTCTTGCTTTTTATAAATCTGGTATGAATTTCTTCGAATTGATCCTATTTAGAGCTCATGAAGCTTCTTGGGTTTATACTTTTCATCAAATTTGGGGAGTTTGGGACCTTATTTCTTTGAATATTCTCTGTACTTTTCTCTTCTACTTCTAAAATTCTCATTTTATGTATGTGGATATGCTTGATGGTGTCCCAGAGATGTCTGAGGCTCTGTTCTGTTTTCCTTTCTGTTTCTCACATTAGATTATCTCAATGGACCTAAATTCAAGTTTATTGATAATTTTTCCATTCGTTCAAACCTGCTGAACATTTGTTCAAAACTGCTGAATCCTCTGGTGAATTATTTTTCACTGATGTTATTTTACTTTATAACTCCATAATTTCTATTTGGTTATTTTCTATAATTTATATCTGTTTTCTATATTCTCTATCTTATGAGACATTATTTTCACACTTCCCTTTAGTTCCTTTTAGTTCTTTACACACTTAAAATAGCTGACTTAAAGTCTTTCTTACAAGCCCAATGTCTGGGCTTCCACAGGGAAATTTTGACTGATGGCTTTGTTCCATTTATGGGCCATGTTTTCTTGTTTCTTTGCATGTCTCATACATTTTTGTAGAAAATAAGACATTTCAACAATATAATGGGGCAACTGAAATTCAGACTCCCCACCCACCCAAACACAAAAGATTTGTTGCTGTGACTATTTGTTGTTGTTTAGTGGTTTTTCTCAACTACTTCCATAAAGGGTATTTTTTTTTGTTATATGTGGCCATTGAGGTCAACTGACAATTAGACAGAGATTTCCTTAAATCCCTGGAACCAATAAGTCTCCCAAGCTTTTCTTAGAAGCTGTGTGTGTGTGTGTGTGTGTGTGTGTGTGTGTGTGTGTTGGGGGCATACCGATGCCGCCTTAATTTTCATGTTCTGCTTGTACAGAGTCTCAGAATTAGTCATAGGTGAGAGCTTATGGCTTTCTCACATCTTTCATGCACAGCCCTGGGCATGTACACAGTCTTACCCATGTGTGTGGCCTGGAATATTTCAGAGCTTTGAAAAGACCTCTATGTCATCTCATTTCCCAGATTTTCTTTTTAAGCTCTTGGCCAGTTTGTGCTTGCCCCAACTGTTATTCCACCTCAGAAATCTGATGTTCAACAACTGCCTCTGAAAGTTTTTGACATATGTCCCTGGGGAATAGATGCTTGCATTGGGTGGGCTGTGACTAAGGCAATGGCCTTGCCTTGCAAGTGAGATCTTCTGTGGAACCACTAGTTAGGGCAAATAATGACAGTTCTCTGGGAATGGGACTTTGAAGGGACACCAACCCATCTATCCCTTCCAAAGAATGCCAAGTTGCTGGCTTTACTGTAACTGCAGTGAAAAGGCTACTGCAGAGCCAAGGAGGGGGACATGAGAATATAGAAAGTTAAAATGCCATAAAGCTTATTGTGCTTACTGAGATTCAGCTATTTGTGTGTCTTTTTTAAATAAATGGTTGCCAGATTGCTGCAAGCCTTTGGTTAATTTCCAGAATTCTAAAAAAAAGTTGTTTCTGACAATCTATACCAGTGTTTTCATTACTTTTATGAAAGAGGGAGTTTTCAGAGGTCCTTAACTCTGCCATTTCTACTGACATCATCCTCTTTTTTTCTTAAAGGTACACAAAATAATAGTGTTTCTTACAATTGATGACATCTTAGATTTAATAAAATATGGCAAGCCTTAGCAATAAAATACATCTAACTAACTAATGGGAAAGTTAAAAACAAGGTGACACTAAAGGTTAGACAATTACAAAATATATATATGATGGGGCTGATACATAAATATCTTAGTTTTCATATTATCATGGGGAATGGTAGAGATATTGATTATTTAACATTGCTACATCAATTATTTATGTTTAATGTGAGGATAACTACTCAGATAAGTGAAATATATAACTTACAAATCAATAAAGGGAAAATGATTAGTTCAATGGGAAGCAGGAAAAAGGACAGAGAAATCAAAGAAAAAGAAAAATCATAGTAAAGAGACACACACAGACACAAAATAAGATGTTATAGATATTCCAAATAAAATAATCACAATAAATGTAAGTAAATTAAACCCACTCATTAAAAGCAGAGATTTTTAAGATTGATTTAGAAGTTCAGCTATAAATCCTACTTATAAAAGACCTATCTAAAGGATATGAAAAGTTTATAGTAAATACATAGAAAGTTACATACAGAAATAAGTAGATATTACCCAAATGAGAGCTAGAATAGAAATGTTACTGCTCAATAAAAGAAACTTTAGAGAAAGGAGCAATATTAAGAAAAGTGGATTAATTGATCATTAATTAATGATGAAAAGAATAACTTTTCAGAAAAATATAACATTGAATAGTATTTTCAGCCTAGAAACGAAGCAAAAATTGACTAACCCCCATATGTACTGGGAGATTTTAAACACATTTTAGATGGCATAAAAAACAACTAGTACAGATAAAGAAAAAAAGTGTAGAAAACTAGACACCAAAATTAACAGGCTTAATATAAAGAGCCCATGTAAAATTCTGAATGTAGCAAATGGAGAATATGTATTTTCTTCATGCATATGTAGAAAGTTGATAAGTATTGACCAATTCTAGCACATAAAACAAGACTCAATAACGAAGAAGCACTATCATACAGACCTCATGAAATTGGAATTTAATAATAAAAAGACAGGAGGAATGGGGAGACAGCTCCAAATAACTAAAGGATTAAAGAAGAGATTACAAAATCAATTACAAAATTTATAATTGAACAATCACAACTTGTGGGTTGCCACCAAAGTGGAACTGGGAGAGAAAATGATGGCCTTAAAATACCTTTATTAGCAAAACCTAAATGACTAAAATAATTGAATCAAAATTTCAACTCAAGAAGATAGAAAAGTGAACTAGAAAATAAGCAGCAGAGTTACCAACCAAATCAAAAGTTAGTTATTTGAAAAGACTAAGAACAACACATTCTTGGGCAAGGTTAATGAGAAAAAAGAATTTTTAAAAGGAACATAAATACAGACAGAAATGAAAAAGATCATAAAGGAACACTCTGAATAACTCTATGCCAACACACTTACAAACTTGCTTGATGCAGGTTTCTCTTTCAGAAAAAGAAATCAATATTAGTTTCAGGAAAAAATAGAAAACTTAAAATAGACTTACAACTATTTAAGAATTTGACCCTAAAAACACAGACCTTGGCTATTTTTCAGGTCCACTTCGCCAAAAATTTAATAAACAGGTTTAATGTGATTTCATAGTAATAGATCTACAGGTGCAACTCAACAAATTAATATATTAAAAATAAAATCATTTAACTCTCAATAGATTGAGACAGTCCATTTAAAACAAAAACAAGAAATTTGACCTTTTAGAATGGTATGCAACACCTAAAACTTGATCCACAGAAGAAATAATGGATAAGCTGGGCTCTGTTGCAACTGAAAACTTCTGCTCTATATAAGATAGCATCAAAAGAATTAGAAGACAAGCCACAGATTGGGAGAAAGTACTTGCAAAAGACATGTCTGATAAAGGACAGTTACCCAAAACATACAAAGAAATCTTAAAACTCAAAAATAAGAAAAGAAGCAACCTGATAGGAAAAGGAGCAAAAGACCTTAATAGACACCCTGCCCACAAGATACACAGACCAGCATATGAAAAGATGCCCCCTACCCTGTGACATCAGGGAGATGAAATTAAAACCACAATGCGCTGTCACTACACACCGCTTAGATGGAACTCGGACCACACAGATGCTGGTGAGGATGTGGAGCACCGGGGACTCTCATTCATTGCTGGCGAGAAGCTACATGGAACAGCCACTTTGGAAGACAGTTTGGTAGATTCTTAAAAAACTAAACATGCTCTTACCATGTAGCCCAGTGGTCATTCTTCTCCGTATTTACTCAAAGGAGTAGAACACTCATTTGAACAAAGACCGGAAGTTCCAGAAGGTAGTATCAGGTGGGATGAGAGAGTTCCAGATGGAGGGAATACCAAGCAGAGGACTCTCCTATATGGTTTTCTAGGCACAAAATCCAAAAATTACATTATTAGAACAAGAAGAATTAACAAGGTTGCCAGATTCAAGATAAATATTCAAAAAAACCATTGGGTTCCTCCACACAGCAGCAACCAATTAGGACATCTAATAAGACAAAGAGAAATATTTCATTCAGAATGGCAACAAAATTATCACTGTGGTGTGATATAAGATTCACAAGATCTATGTATAAAATGGATGATACATTTTTAATAAGATTGAATCAAATAGGATCTAATAACACCTGATAAATGCTATGTAAATAAATGTTTTGTAAGTGGAGAGATTATGTTTATAAATGGAAAAATTCTGTATTATAAAGATGCAAATCTTCACAAATTAATGCAGATATCAAATGGAATTCCGACTAAAGGCACATCATAAGTAACTTGATAAACTAATGTTAAAAATCCTACAAGAGTAAGGGGTAGGAATAGCAAAGACTTTGAGGAAGAAGAACATGAGGGCTGGGAGGTCCTCAGCGCTAGTGATTAGGCATCACTAGCTGTGGAAAAAACCTCAGTATGTTTAAGGCTCAAATGTGAGAATAGTTTATTTCTGACTTGTATAAACTCCAAACAGATACTCCCCAAATCAGTGGGTAACTCTCCTTCAAGCAGCATTTCATACACCCAGGCTTTCTTTTTTTGCTCCCGTCTTTCAAGGTCACTGTGCATGTTTGCGTGAAGCTGGTGGAAGGAGCAAGAAAATAAGATTATGCAGTGGAGGTTTATAAACGATGCCTAGAAAAGGTTCGCACTGCTTCCACCCCTGTCACTGGCCACAGGACATGCAGGGGAGGCCAGAGAACAAGAGGAGACAGGGGTGGTGAAAAGCCAGCCAGTCTCTGTCACACCAGCCTTATGTCAAGATTTCTTATACAGACAAAATCATCCAAGCTTTGGGGGAACAGCACAGGGATAAACAAATAGATTGATAAAATAGAAAGCAGAGCCCAGAAGCCGACTTACACATGTGGGGGGAAACTTGCACTTGATGGTGATGGCGTCACACGTGGGTGGGGAAGTACAGAAGCAGGTTCTACCCGGTGCTGGGACAACCGCCAGCCGCGTGGAAGCGGAGATCAAACAGCAGACAATGTGTGGAAAGGCATGTACAAGACTCTCGGTGACTTGAAGGCCTAAATGTAAAAAAGCAAAGACTTTAGTATATGTGCTGCTGAAGCGAGCACAAAAAAGCAAAGACTTTAAAATAATTAGAATAATTAGAACAATTAGAACAAAGTATTAAAATAATTAGAACAAAGTATTAAAGAATATCCTAGGTATATTGGTAGGGAATATTGAGAAGAGAGGAAGGGAGGAAGCATTTTTATGAAGGAAAAGAGTGACAACTTTGACTTGTCTTTCAGCTCCATTGTTTCGTCTGCTCCTGTGCCAAAACCACTGTCTATAAAGAAAGTGAGAGAAAACATTTTTCTCCCCAATCTTTCTTTCTTTGTTTTGACCTGGTGAGGAGATGGAGCCCCTCAGAGAGTCCGCGACAACTCAGGGTTACACTGTTAATGACAAAGCTGGTTTCCAAATCCAAATTTTCTGGCCTGTCCAGTACTTAACTCCTTTAATTCAAACTCAGCAGCAGCATCACCGCAGTAACCTTTTGTGTACTTAATGTGTGTCAGGCACACGATGATGTAAAAGATACAAATTAGGGCCTCCCTGGTGGCGCAGGGGTTGAGCACTGGGTTGCAAAGCTGCCCGCAGCCTCTGCAGCGCTGGTTCGATCCCTGGCTGCTCCCCGGCCACTGGAGGAGGGTCCCACATGGCGCGCAGACCTCTCCTGCCGCCCGCTGCTCCCCTCAGCAGTGTACTTCGGTCCTTCTGCCTGCTCTGCTCCCCGCTCTGGAGCTGGTGAATTCTCTCACCCTCCCACGCTTCTGACTGAACCCAGTGCTTGTATAAATAAATAAATCTTCAAAAAAAATTCATCTTATAACTGAAAGCGAATATTTAAAACTACACAGTACAATTTCACAATGCCGTATATTCTGGGATGAACGCATGCCTGTTCTATTCCCTGCTCTGTCTCTGGTGAATCCTCTCACCCTCCCGCATATCTGGCCTGTACCCCGGTTCTTGTATAAATAAATCTTTAAAAAAATATATTGAAAAAATGGAAACTTGGGCCTCCCCGGTGGCGCAGCGGTTGAGCGCTGGGTTGCGAAGCTGCCCGCAGCCTCTGCAGCGCCGGTCGGTTCGATCCCCACTGCTCCCCGGCCACCGGAGGAGGGTCCCACATGGCGCGCAGACCTCTCCTGCCACCCGCTGCTCCCCTCAGCAGTGTACCTCGGTCCTTCTGCCTGCTCTGCTCCCCGCTCTGGCTCTGGTGAATTCTCTCACCCTCCCGCGCTTCTGACTGTACCCAGTGCTTGTATAAATAAATAAATAAAATAAATTAAAAAATAAAAGAAAATAAAAAATAAAAGATACAAATTAAAAAATAAATTAATTAAAATTTTAAAAAGATAGCACGTGTAAAATGCTTAGGAGAGAAAATATTTTTAACGTGAAAAAGCTCTAAGGGATGACTATGCAGATTACCTAAAGGACTTCTTCAAACAAACAGCAGAAAGTAGAGGAAGGATGTGAAGAGCGAATAGACAAAGGAGAAAAGGAAATGTTCTGTGAAAAAGAAAGACGATCAGCTTCACTAATCATTGAGGAAAGACCAGTAACAACATGTCAAATCACATCGCTCAAATGAGCAAAAATGGAAAAGCCTGGCAGTACCAAGTTTTAGGAAAGATGTGGGGAAATGAAGAGTCTTACACACTGCTGGTGGGAAGACACATTAGTGCACGACCTGGGGGAGCAATCTGAAAACACAGTGCACACACCCCAAGACCCAGCGATTTCACGCCTGGCTCTATGCTCAGGGACATTTGCTGCCATGCACCGAGACACACAAGGTGCAGTCACCCCAGCCTTGGGTTCAGCCCCCGCTGTGGAATCCCTGACGGAAGCAAGCTGGTCCAGGCCTTCATCTATTTGGCTCCTTCCCCTCTGGAGACAGTCAGCCGATGCAGGAGGGGGTGCCCACAGGTGGGCTGTCTCTGCGCAAGCCCCACTCCAGGCTTCACCCTTCACCAACACCCATGACCTTGAACCACTTTCGTTCTGGGGTTTGGCTTTAGGAGACGCCTTAGGGAGAAGAGGAGGGACCACGGCTGGGTTGCTTCCCTGTCTCCCCCATTCCACTTGGCATTCTGAAAGGTGGGCACCCACTCGCTTACCCCCGAACCCCAGCCCATGCGCAGAATGAGGGGTGAGTGAAGGAAGTCAGGCTTTGGCAAGCAAATGGCAGCAAGGCAGGAGGTGAGGGGGGAATGCCTGACTGTAACCATAGGAACGATGTGGCTGTGTGGTCGTGCTGGAGATGGTAACCATGGCAACACGGATGGGGCGGCCCGCGTGAGCAGTTGCAGCTCTGCCCGCAGCCCCGGTCCATGCCCGGCCCGCCCTGGGTAGTGACCAGACAGGACGATGAGGGCAAGAAGCGCCTGTTTCCAGCTCCCGCAACCCCCGCAACCCGGGCTGCGCACCCCAGGGGTCACGCCCCCGAGGGGCCCCTGAGCCCGCGGGAAGACGGGGAGAAGCACCTGCATGTGCGCCGCGGCGCGAGCGCAGGCCGAGCGCGGGCTGGAAGGTCCCGAGCGCGCAGGGGGCGCTGCCAGTGCGCAGGGCCGGGGGTCACCCCATCGCGCGGGCAGGGCCAGGTGCGCGGGGGGCGACGTGTGTGGGGACCGGGGTCCCCACGTGTGTGGCCGCGGCGGTGGGGGTGGGGTGGGGCGGGTGGGGAGCGCGCGGCGGGCCGTCGGCCGGGGCGCGGGGGGCTGGGGGGCGGGGGGGGCGCGGGGCGGGCAGGGCGCTGTCCCGCCCCATCCATCACCCGCGGGCGGACGGCGGTGTCGGGCGCAGATCTTATCCGCTTCATTTCCGCCGCGCGCCCGCCCGCGCCGCTCCCTGAAGGCGCCATCCATCATGGGGGGGGGGGGGTGCAGGGATGGGGGGCTCGCGGGCAGCACGGAAGGAAAGGGAGGGGCGGCCGGGAGCTAGGAGCACGGCGGGAAACCAGGGGAGGCATCTTAACAAGTTGGGGGGATTTCTGGGGTCCCTCTTCCACGCGCGCGCGGGGGGCGCTCTCGGGCCCCGAGGGCGCGGGACGGGGCCGGACCCCCCCAGCCCGGGGCACCCCGCGGGGGGTGGGCCGGATCCCGGGGGCCCGGCCTCGTCTCCCCCGCCGCGGGGCGTGGGGGGGGCGGGCTGCGCCCCGCCCTGGGAGGGGGTGCCGAGCGCGGGGCCGCACCTGGACCCTCGGGGCGACCCGCGGCCGGGCCGCGCGGGGGGCGGGGGGCGGGGCCCCGAAGGGAGGCCTTATTTCATTTCCCCGCGCTGCTGAGGTTTCTGCGAAGTGTCTCTCTCACCTCTTTAAATTTTACTGCGCTTGGCTTGTGGCCGCCCGCCCCGCCCGGGGAGGAAGCGGGTGCGCGGTCTGGGAGCCTCCCCCGGCCCAGGGGTGGCCCCTCCAGGTAGGGCGCGGGTCAGGCCCGGGCCGCCCGGACTCCGCGGGGCGCCCGGCCTGTGCCCCCCTCGGGTTCCCGGGGCCACCGCAAGGGTCTGGCCCCGGGCCGGCCCCGCCTCTTTTGCGGGCTCAGCTGGCCGCTGGTCGCTCCTCCTGCTCACAGGGAGTATTGGGGTGCGTGTTGGGGGGGCCGCGGGGGAGGAGGGGTGCTGCTGGAAGACGAATTAAGAAGAGCAGAAATGGATATCAGCCTCAGAGCCCCAGATACGTGACCAGCGCTCCCCAGCTTCGCGGAGAGCTAGATGGTGCCCCAAGTTCCCGAGTCAGGGTCAAGTGTCCCATTTGCGCGCAGGCCGCCAGCCAGGCTCGGGCCACCTGCGAAGGGATCCGGTTGGGGCTGGAGATGCAGGGAGGACAGGGGCGGCTGCTGCTTCCCAGCGTGGTCCTTCGGGAGGCTGAGATGACTCCTTCCCAGGATCAGTCTTGGGGGAGGGAACCCCACCTCAGAGCAGGAGAGGAGCTGCGAGGGGCGCGTGGACAGGAGGTGAGTGTGGGCAGCTGGGGGCTTCCCAGCGAAGGGAAGTGAGCACGAGGAGGAGGAGCATCTGAGGCCCAGTTAGGACACCTGGCAGGTGAGGATGGATTCGCTGATGTGAAGGCAGTTCCCTCTGACTCAGAGCCCCCTTGCCTCCCCTTGCAATCATCACCTGGTTTTCTCCACTGCTTAGTTCTTACTACACGGCCCCAGGCTACACCACCCAGCAGCCTGGGACATAAAACTTTGCAACAACCACAGAACTGGAAGGAAACAAGGCACCAGGCAGAACTTTGGTTCCACTGGCCTGGGAGTTGAGGGGTCCCCTGGGTTGTGGGGCTGCAGGGCTGCTGGGTTCTGAGCAGGGGTAGGGGTGGGGGCAGAAATGCCCACCTGTTGTTGGAGCCCTCTGGACCCCCCGGCGGAGGAGGCGCTGAGACATTCTTTCTCTTCGTTGACCCAGAGAGGAAATGTCCGGGTTATCACACTCCAGGGAGCTCAACCACTGGCATCTATACTGGGAAAAGTGGTCACCTCCACATGACCCAGCAAGGCCTTACGGCCGCCTCCCCACTTCCCACCCCTGCTCCAGCTTCCCGCTCCCATCCTTTCACGCTCCTTGCATCCAGTCCTATCGCTTTGCCCTTCTCAAATCTGCCCCCTCCTCTCTTATCCTGGCCACCACCTCCTGGTATCTGCTCTCCTGCATCGCTGCCAACGGCTCCTTGCTGGGCCGCCACTTGTCCGTCTTTTGTTCCGGGATGACAGCAGGGCCCTGTCATGCCCTCATACAACACTGTACCGGCTGCCCGCCACGCCCAGGATAAAGCCAGAGTTCACACCTCACATTTAAGGCCCTTGAAGCCCAACCTGGCTCCCCTCTGTGATGGCCTTTCTGGCTTCCATCTTTGCTTAGTTTAGCTTCTGTGCTTCTGAGTGTACGGCATGCGGTCCCCTCTGCCGGGAATGCCCCACCTTCCCTCCTCGTCGCCCTTGGAGGCCTGGCTCAAATATCTCTACTCTGGTAGGCCTTCCCCCTTCTGAGACTTGTGCCCCCTTCTTCCCTCGCCACCTCCTGTGGGGACCTGTCTGGGTCTTCTTTTAAATGATCGATTGTTCTGGAAGGGCAGATTCCCTCATTTATCCCGGGAGCCTGAGGACCTGGCCAGAGGAGACCTGAAGTGATTGCCGCTGCAGGGGGAGGAGACACCAGGCAACATTTGGGGCCCAGCGCCAGGCCGCCTCCTGTTTCTGAACTTCTTTCAACCTGGGGACCTGGGACCATCCTCACTGGGGTGTGGGTGAGAAAGGGGCTGGAGAATGGCACTGTGGGCTTTTGTGACCATTCCCTCTTCACACGAATGCCCTCACGCTGTGCCAAGACCTTCCTGTAAAGTAGACTCAAGATTCAGTGCTATCTGGTAGCACTGGGTGACTGGTTGTCATGGAAACCCGAGGGCAGGAAGCACCTGCTGGCTCCCTTCCCCTGGCGGGAGCCCTGTACAGCCTGGGCTGAAATGGTACCCCGCGATGCCCACTCTGGAGCAGACTAGGTCTCCTCATTCCTTCCCAGCAGAAGCTTGTGGCTTCATCATGGAGTGTTGACCGGGTGTACCCCGCAGGCTCCAAGGCTACAATCCTGTCAACACTTTCTTCTCCTTGGGGGACCAGCCAACCTCTGGTTAAATACTCAGGCTCAAGCTCTGGAGTCAGATAGCGGGGCTTCTATCTGAACTCTGTCCCTGGGGGGCTGTGTGGTCTTGACAAGACATTCACTATTCTGAGCTTCAGTTTCCTCATTTCTTTCAATGGAAATCACGAGATTTCCATTTGGGGAGAGGTGGTGGACCAGGGCTCTGGAATGCCTTCCCACTAGAACACAATGCCATTCTTCATGAGTTACAAAAAACAAAACAAAACACACAGGCCATTGTTTCGGAATCGTTTGGGCAGAAGAAAAACACAACCAAGTAATGGAGGCACTGAAACAAAAGCTTGTTGTGGTAACTAACAGGTAAATAGAAAAGTCAGGTAAAATGTTGAAATACCCCCCGGGCATCGCCAATTAGGTGCAGGGCAGTGGCCAGGTAGGAGACATACCTTGAGACTCTGCATGGAGCGGGTATCTCTTAAAGGTGGCTAAGGTAGTCCCAGGTTAAAGCAGCCGGCTGGGTCCTGGCAGATGCAAATGCAAATGCCCTCGGTAGAAATGTGCCTCCAGTTTAGGTTTTCAGGATTCCTACAGATTTAATTCAGCAAAATATGAGCTCGCAGTCAGGGACCACCAGACAAGGAAAAAACCTCTATGAGAGAGTCAGCAATTCAGACAATAAACGAGGCATGCAGACACCCTCCCTAGATGAGCTGGCTATTGGAATGGCCAAATACAGAATATAAAACAATCACATATAAAGTGTCAAAGGGGGAGGGGACAGGGGGTGGGCAAAGCGGGTTGAAGGGGTCAATGGTGCGGTGAAGAACGGGATGGGGTTTTAGCGAGACACAACGCATTCCATGCAGACGCTGACTTAGGAGGCTGCATACCTGAAAGCAATGTAATGTTAAATGCAGCATTGCTTCCATAAATTTGTTTTTGAAAGAAAAAAATTCTTTGAAATTTTATTTCAAAGAAACACAGGCTGGAATCACATCCCGAAGAATGAATGTAGAATAAAAAACCTGTGGAAAATGGCCAGGAAGACTTGAAAGGAAACCAAGTAGAACGCGTGTAAATGAAAATTACAATGGATGATATAAAAAAATCTCATCAGATGGACTAGACAAAAGATTGGATGCAGCTGAGGAGGTAGTTATGAAGTGGAAAATAGATCTGAAGGAATTAACCCAGAATTCAGCCCAGAGAGAAAGGAGATATAACATATGGAGAGGAAGGAGGTGAAGAGAGACCGAAAGAAAAGTGAGATCTATTGTACAACTGCGATCCATGAAAGAAGCCTCCAGAAGGCCAAGGTAAGATGATGTTTGGAGAGATGATGGCTGAGAACTTTTCAGAATTTAGAAGAGATGATTCCACAGCCAGACATAGTGTTTGTTGTTTTGTTTGATTTCTGCATGACAATAATTTTTTTCCGCATGACAATAATTTTTTTTCCCCGCAGGCAGGCACGTATGCACTTATGTACATATGTATGAAATGAATGAGTGGATGAGTGACAAATAAAAAGCATATCCCATCACTTAGTGCCCCTTTGTGTGGGGGCCACCCTCCCCAGGCTGGGCAACAGCATGTGCAAACTAGCAGTGTAATAAACGTGTGG